CTCGAGGCTAGTTAGGGTCTTTTTGAGGACTTGATAGAAAAGATGCAGACATCATGTAACGAGATTTGGGTGTGGCTAGCTCTAATCATTAACATAAAATTTGTTTGCTGTTTTTTTCTCTTTCACTTCTACTTTGTTCTTTTTTTATTTTTTGTTTCTTAAATTTTTTATTGTACTACTTATAACAAAGATACGTAAATATAGTTGCACTGAATCAACGGGCGTGCAATTGCAGTTGTGGACATGTCCACATGGATGCAACTGCAATTGCGCGCAACCGATGGACTGTAGTTGCAGGCAACCGGTAGACATGTAGTTCCGTGCGACCACTGGACATGCAATTGCAGGAGACTAGTGGACATGCAATTGCAAGTGACTGGTGTACATGAAGTTGCACACAGTCGACAGACGTGCAACCCAGTTGCATGTGACCATAATAATGTAGTTGCAAGCGGCATGAAAAAAAGAAAGAAATGAGAAGGATGCGTAATTTGCGTGCAACGCGAGAAAGAAAAAGGGAATCCAAAGAAATAAAAAAGTCATAAATCAACTAAATGAAAAACAAGAACGAAAAAGAAAAAGTTCACACGAACCTATGCACAAAATCTAATGGCATATGAGTTAGACGAGACATTGTTAATTCTGATCTAGATGACGATTAGCAAATCCATATTTTCTTTCATTTTAGTCATTGAAGGAATTATTGTGTTTTGGAAGAATTGGATCAAACTTCCCTTAATAACACGCTAATTACCGTTTAAGTGAGAAACTCGCTGAATAACTTACTGGATCTACTGATATGTTCCTTGAAGCACCACATCCACGTCGTGACGGGCGTACTACTCACACCTCATCATGTTGGATTGATGTCGATGAAGAAGACGATGGTTCCCCTCTGACGGAGCACCAAAACACGACTATTGGTTTCGCGCCTTGAATCCCGAAGTGGCGACAAAAAAAACTCATGGTAACTCGAAGAAGGGTTTCGGGGTATTTATGAGTTAGAGACAAGAGACCTAAGGTGATGAGACCTCTTTAAGCCCCACATGTCCTGGGCCGCAGCAACATTGCCCCTCACAAAAAAAAAACAACCAAAAAATTACTAACCGGTACATAGCTGCCGGCGGCCATGCGGTCTTTGCCGGGTGGCGTATTGAGACATGGTGAGGAGGGTGGGGGGGATCTGGTGGAGGACGAGCAAGCTAGAGCACGATCTTGCCGCCACCCGTGTCACGCGGGGCTAGTTAGTGTATTTTTGAGGACTCAATAGAAAAAGATGCAGGCATCATGAAACAAATTTTGGGTGTGGCTAGCTCTAATCATCAATATAGAATTTGTTTGCTGTTTTTTCTCTTTCACTTCTACTTTGTGCTTCTTTTATTTTTGTTTCTTAATTTTTTTATTGTATTACTTTTAAAAAAGATACGTAAATATAGTTGCACTTAGTCAATAGGGGCTAGTTAGGGTCTTTTTGAGGACTCGATAGAAAAGATGCAGACATCATGTAACGAGATTTGGGTGTGGCTAGCTCTAATCATTAACATAAAATTTGTTTGCTGTTTTTTCTCTTTTACTTCTACTTTATTCTCCTTTTATTTTTTGTTTCTTAAATTTTTTATTGTACTACTTATAAAAAAGATACGTATATATAGTTGCACTGAGTCAACGGGCGTGCAATTGCAGTTGTGGACATGTACACATGGATGCAACTGCAATTGCGCGCAACCGATGGACTGTAGTTGCAGGCAACCGGTAGACATGTAGTTCCGTGCGACCACTGGACATGCAATTGCAGGCGACTAGTGGACATGCAACTGCAAGTGATTGGTGGACATGAAGTTGCACACAGTCGACAGACGTGCAACCGCAGTTGCCTGTGACCACAATAATGTAGTTGCGAGCGGCGTGAAAAAAGAAAGAAATGAGAAGGATGCGTAATTTGTGTGCAACGCGGAGAAAGAAAAAGGGAATCCAAAGAAATAAAAAAAATCATAAATCAACTAAATGAAAAACAAGAACGAAAAAGAAAAAGTTCACACGAACCTCTGCACAAAATCTAATGGCATAGGAGTTAGACGAGACATTGTTAATTCTGATCTAGATGACGATTAGCAAATCCATATTTTTTTTCATTTTAGTCATTGAAGGAATTATTGTGTTTTGGAAGAATTGGATCAAACTTCCCTTAATAACACGCTAATTACCATTTAAGTGAGAAACTCAGCAGCTGAATAACTTACTGGATCTACTGATATGTTCCTTGAAGCACCACATCCACGTCGTGACGGGCGTACTACTCACACCTCATCATGTTAGATTGATGTCGATGAAGAAGACGATGGTTCCCCTATGACGGAGCACCAAAACACGACTATTGGTTTCGCGCCCTGAAAACCGAAGTGGCGGCAAAATAAAATTCATGGTAACTCGAAGAAGGGTTTCAGGGTATTTATGAGTTAGAGACAAGAAACCTAAGGTGACGAGACCTCTTTAGGCCCCACATGTCCTGGGCCGCAGCAACCGCACCAACGTTGCCCCTCACAAAAAAACAAACAAAAAACTACTAACCGGTACATCGCTGCCGGCGGCCATGCGGTCTTTGCCGGGTGGCGTATTGAGACATGGTGAGGAGGGGGGGGGGGATCTGGTGGAGGACGAGCAAGCTAGAGCACGATCTTGCCGCCACCCGTGTCACGCGGGGCTAGTTAGTGTATTTTTGAGGACTCAATAGAAAAAGATGCAGGCATCATGAAACAAATTTTGGGTGTGGCTAGCTCCAATCATCAACATAGAATTTGTTTGCTATTTTTTCTCTTTCACTTCTACTTTGTTCTCCTTTTATTTTTGTTTCTTAATTTTTTTTATTGTATTACTTTTAAAAAAGATACATAAATATAGTTGCACTTAGTCAACAGGCGTGCAACTGCAGTTGTGTGCAAGCAATGAACATGGAGTTGTGGTCATGAACACAAGGATGCAACTGCAATTGCACTTAACCGATGGACATGCAGCTTGCGGGCAACCGGTAGACATGTAGTTCTGTGTGACTAGACATGCAGTTGCAGGTGACTAGTGGACATGTACTTGCAAGTGACCATGATAGTGTAGGCGTGTGCGGCGTGGAAAAAGACAGAAATGAAAGGAAGTGTAGTTTGTGCGCAATGTGAAGACATAAAAAAGGGAATCCAAAGTAATAAAAAAGAGAGTAAATCAACTAAATGAAAAACAAAAATAACACACGAACCTCCATGCAGAATCAAATGGCATAGGAGTTAAATGAGACATTGTTAATTCTGATGTAGATGATGATTAACAAATCCACATTTTCTTTCAATTTAGTCATTGAAGGAATTATTGTGTTTTGAAAGAATCAGATCAAACTTTCCTTAATAACAACCTTTAATTACTATTTGAGTGTTTGTTACATGTTCTAGTGGTGGCAGGAGTAGTTCTAAGCAGAACCAAAATTACGCTTTGAATATTTTGATGCCCAACCCCGCCGATTAGTTCCTTGTGTAGATGTGCACGAATGCAACCACAATGAAACCAGCCCTCAGCTTGACACTCCACGGGATTCCATACTTTCCCCTGCTGACAAGCCCTCTCACGAATGGCCATAAGCACAACACCATCCAGCCACAACACACGAACTCCCAGATGCCCGGGCCACCATGAACGCCCGCCGCCATCCCTACAACGGCGCAACTGTAAGGGCATATTTATCCCTAAGGTGTTTTGGTGATTGATGACAATGCATTTGTGGACTAATCGTGTGCCTTGAGTATTTCAGATATTTCATTACTAGGCACAAGACGGTTTGGTGCCCCTCGAAGATTATTGAAGACGGTATTTTTCTACGTTCCTCTTTTGATGGATTTGAGTCGTAGGAAAGCCGTACTATTAAGAGGGGGTTTGCTTTGGAAAGGTTTGGGTGAAATCATCACATACATGTTTTACTCCTCTTTGCATCGCCTTTCCCTTAGCACTATGGAGCATCCTCCGTTTCTTCGTGTATGTGCAAAAAGAAGAACTCCTAGTGTTGCTGCTCTGGGGCATGCGGTAGTACTGCTCTTCGGAGCGGTAGTACCGCAGGCCCCTGCGGTAGTACCGCAGGTGGTCACGGTAGTAC